CAAGCACCAAACACTATTCTGAAAGAGTGAGATCATGTGAGCAATGTGCACTGCCTTAACATCAGTGAGCTTTTTCTGCTCAGTTAAAATATTTAAAATGTTTTTTGACTGCTTAAGATTCCACTTGTTTATGTAACTACTAAAGTACTGTGTCAAAGTCAGCGAGCAGTCATTCTTGGGCAGGCACAGAGGCATTAAAACCATTATTCAGTAAAGAAATGATCAAAATCAAACTCTAAAAGCCATACTTCTGATTGTTGTTAGAAAAAGACATCTTAAGTTACACTGGAGAAAACTGCCAAGCGTTCATAAATGTGTTATAAATGTTACTTATAATATAAACACATCATCAAACCTTAAAATCTAAAAGTTATTACATGCATTCAGACAAATGTATAATGACTAAGATGAGAACTGAATGCAGTTTTAACAAAGATCACCCTGCTCTGCTTCTATTAGAATTTTAAATGTTTCTTATAATAAGATGTGGCTAAAACCTCCTCAGCTTCTACATTCCCTGTTTGACATCAGCAAAGGGCTTCAGCAGGTCATTATGATAATTGTCCACGTCTCCATAAAAATGTCTGGGCTGCTTAATTGTGCTCATAGTTTTAAGAATAGGACTCATTACCGCCGAGATAAGCGACCAACACCAATAACCTCAGCTCAGCCACTGCTCTGCTTGTTTTTCCAAAAGCACATATTTCACATGCACAGCTAGTTGCATGTGGTGGAAGTGTTAGGCAGGGAAACAGGGAGGCGTATTTCTGGGGTCCACAGGAAGGGCAGAGAGAAAATGAGACACTAAACCCAGCTCCCATCGCTCCGGAAATCTATACAGCCTGCCCTTCCTGGCCACTCATAAAATAAACAAGTGTGTGCTGTATTACACTGCATTTCCGATGGCCTAAACTAGCAAACTCACATATCACCATCAACATGTAGTTTTAATAACCTACCAGGGTTTGGGGCCACCTCCAGGGCTTTGTGCTTAACGACAGCTCTAACACAATGCAACACGCATCAGTACATGAAACACCCCAGGCAGAGTGGCTCTAATTATTTTAGAGGCTTTTTCCACTGCATTTCCTCCGTGGCAGGTAGCCGAGCATCAGCTGACGATGACAGACCTGGCCTGGAGCCCAAGTGTCTATGTTGTCACCCAGGTGGTGAGGTGACCCTTCTGCAGCCCTGCACACAACCAGTGAGCTGTAATATTTGTGAAAACCTGTGCTTCTCCATGGAAGGAATGCAGGGAAATTATGGGATTCTGAGAATTTCCCTTTTAAGTGTGACTGTGCTATAATTATAGGGTCAAAAGAGCATAAAGAAACAAAATTCACAGGCTGAAAGGTAGCCAAACAAGCAGCTATTAAACAGTAAGGCTTTCTGTCAAAGATCTCATTTTGGTTTGAGGAAACGGTAGAAGCCACTTAACTTGGGAAAGGAAAAATCTGTCGAGAGGGTTGCATTAAATCACTTTTAGGATTTACAGTTCCTAACTTCTTGGAGCAGTGAGTTCAGATGTATCTGAGCTGCTATCTTTTGTGAAGCTCCATCTAAAACCCAGATGGAATAGTTCTTTAAATGCATAATTAATTAAACTGAGATTTCTTACACAGCATTTCATTTCATATTTGCTTTAGTGCCGGGGTCTACAACCTGTGGCTCCCAAGCCCTATGCTGTTCTTTAGCCTCTTTGTACTGGCTCCGTGCCAGATTATATTTTATTTTTGTTAATGGACCAAATTAACCTGACTGCACATAAAAGGTTTTAATGGCTGACGAAACAAATCATTTAACAAGAAGATAACAAAAACAACATGGCTGTGAAGCTTTTGAACAATGTAATTCAAATCAAATTTAGAGAAAAACCACACAACAGCACTGGTGCCATTCTACTTCTGTTCAGTGCAGGTGATGGATTGTTGCCTACATGCAGAAATATGCATTTAGTTCAGTTCTGCAGTACAACAGGAAAAACAACATTACATCATCAACACGGCCCTACCTTTGAAACACTTGAAAGTTAGAAATGTGTTGAAGCGTATCATTCGCTGTCTCCGGTTGCAGGTCCCTTTAGCTACATGTAACATACACTCAGTGTGTGGTGTGCAGTGTTCACCACTGGTGACAGGATGGAAAACAGAATCAAGAATTTCCTGCAACCCATCGCTACCAACCCCGGCGTACCAGCTCACAATGCAGCAAGAGGGAACAATGGCTCCAAAAAGAAGACAGGAACAAACAGGGCATTCAAACACTGACACATGAGACGCCTTTAGAATTTAGTGTTGGCACAACCAGGTCACAAAAGAAAGGTGGGTGGCAGCATGCTAATGATCTGTTTTCTTATGACACCAGTCGGACTTCAATACGTCCATAACTACTTTTTCTAACCGGCTGGGATTCAGTGTGTGTGTGTGTGTGTGTGTGTGTGTGTGTGTATTGTTTGTAGACGTGGTGAAAACTAGAGATAACTTTTTATGACTGAAATAAAAAAAAAAACCAAACTCATGAGGTCTGTAATAAGGGAGCAGCTCACTATCTAACAGTTTATACTGGTATTTCCTGGAATGTAAGGGGCTGGACAGGACACACACACACACACACACACACACACTGCCTCACACAAACTACAGACATGTTCAAACAGTGATGCAGGGCTATACACTCACAGGCCACAAATAACTCACTGAAACTACAATACTCTTCTGCTGCTGAGCAGGGATTTTTTTTTTTAAGTTGAAGATCATCTACTACATGAAAGCAAAGCACATACATTTGTTCGTGTTGTTAGAAAAGAGAAAAAAAATATCTAAGCAGGTTGGGCTTCCTGGGCTTGGAGCCAGCAATCTCTGTCTACACTCTGCTGTGCCCAATATGTACTTGGCACAGTGTCCAACACCACACAGAGGAAGAATAACTTTCACCTTCAGGCACTAAGCATATGTATCCTGCAGGCAATTAGATGATTTGTAATTTAAGAAAGGAGAGGAAAGTAAAAAGAGCAGAGCCAGTGCAGGACGGTTAAGAATCCGTCGCCCTGTACAGAGAAGCATTTCAGAGAGAGTTCTGGGAAAAAAAAGTAAATTCATTCTGACTGTGACATCAATCTTAGCAGCGAGGGCTTGTTTGTTCCTGTGTCATCAGCCTAAATCCATGCCCTGGGCCATGCAGAACAAGTTGACGTCTCACAAACCCCTTTGTGCATTATAGGTTAAACAGGTCAAATGTCATATCTGAGCCCGAAGGAACAAAACAAACCAACTGAGTGACCTCACAAACAGAGTCCACTGATAACATTATCTTCTCACACAAAAGTCATGGAGGAATCAGTAACAGCGGTGATAAAGCGATGTGTTACAGACCTGCGGCCCAGTCGTCTTATTATTCTATTCATTCAGCTGGACGTGTGCTGTAACAGCAGTGGTTAACAAAGCTGAACAGGACTGCACAGTCAACAGGCTCTGACATGGTGTTTGGATAATGAACTGGACAAACATGACAGTCTCCTTTCACTGCATGCCGCGGCTCAAAGTTTGAAATGCAGCTTTTTGTGGTTTGTTAAATACATGGAGTTGTGTGAAACTAATGGGAAAAAGTTAAAAGAGAAAGTCTATTTTAACACAAAGCTCTGCTGTTTAGAATATGTCAGAGCTTCAGCTTTGGATAACTCAAAGGGACATGTGACAAAGGGACAAACACAGCTGCAGTTGTTGAATTAAAAAAATATTA